GATGGAGGTTAACTAAATTTGAATGTGTACTGCAGTACTGGATATGGATTTCTCCAGAATGTGAGCATTTAAGCTATACAAAATATTTCACCTGGGATCAGCTATTGTACGTGGGCCAGTTCCTGGCTTCCAAGGAACCATGTGAAAGAGTCCAGCACCAAAGTGCTCTGCTGCCGAAGCTTCTTATGTCATCTCTAAATGTAGAATGTACACCTCAGACTCAGGATTTCAACCAACACTTTTGGGTCATTTATATGCTTAAGATATGTAAGATTCTTCAGGAGGCAGGGCTCATTTTCCCAAAGGAAAGTACTTTGAGTTTTTTTAAGTTAAAGAAAAGCAGCCTACACTTAACCATATAATGAGCACAAAGGTCTTAAGTAGTATGTGCAGGGTGGGCTTAATTAATTGGAGGATTGGCTTTTAGAATTCCACACTTTCAGGATTGCTGTGATTCAGCAAAGCCAGTGTTAGCATGGGGTGCTCCTGACAGGGTAGCTGTGCCCACCAAATGAGAACGGGGGTCCAGGTGCATGCCAAAGGGAATGGCTCTTTGTGTTAACGAAGCATATGATGTGCAAAAGACCACGCTATTTTTCCATTAATGTGTAAACGTGTTCTTCAGGCAACTCGCTGCCTCTAATCACATACCAAAAAGTGAGGCAGTTGCATTTTTTTCTAGAGAGTGACCAGAATCAAGAGTAGAGAGAAGTGCTGCAGAGACTGGAGCCAAGGGCTGGGCAGGTGTCTCCTGCCTGGACTGTCCACTTGTGTGGGCTGGTTGAGTGGTGACACCCACTCAGGTTCCCAGACCCAGCCTGGCAAGGAGTTCACCAGCCGTCAGTTTCCGGCCCGTCCCCCAGCCAAGGAGCCAGCCTTCAACACAAGTTAACCCATGGCTAAAAGAATGGCCCCAGTTCCAACAAACCCTAATCTTGCTAGTTAATCCTCTGAGGTTGGATCAAACTCATGGATGGTGCCTTCTAAGCTGATGACTGTCTACCTACATCTATGTATGCATATTGTTTCTCATCTTAACATCCCTGACTTACCAGTGGGTTACCAAACTGGCAGCCACTCCGCATTAATGGACATATGGAAGGGATCTGAGAGACAGATGTCTTTCCTATTAGGGTTAAACTCCAGTGCTACCGACAGAAACGGAGCTAAGGCAAGGTTGAAAGTCCTGCTCAGGTCAAAAGGCATTGGACATTTCATCTAGAGTCTATTCAGCATTTAAATGAGAGAGGGATAATTTAAGTGATTCATTCTAAGATTTAGTTCAAATTCTCATTCAGAATTGTGATATTTTTCACAGAATTAGCATCACCAGTAAGGAGATTGTATACGTACAACCAATGACCATAAAAGCTAATATGGTGAAAAACAATAGATCAAAGCAGTGATCTGAATTATTTTCAAGCTACTGAATCATTAAACAGGGTTGACTGCTTCACCATTGATGATGGTGCACCTTGGCTACTCACGTGAACCCCAAGCTGGTTGATTTAGGCCACCTTTTTCCTGCTGTTGTTTCTCTGATCTCATCTTCTAATGAAGACTTGGTCACATTGACCAAACTCCTTTAACTTCAAGTAACTTGGATAGCACCTTTAGTCCTCATCTCTTACTGCTCAACCATTGCAAATGATTTTAGTTTTCACGGACTATGACAACTGGTTGAGCATGAAGTCACTCAAGTTCTAATTCCATGCCTGGACTCACATGCCAGGCAGCCCAGGGCTTCTCCTGGAGTTCAGAGTCCTCAGGAGATTCACTGGAAAGACTGGAGTGAAGGAATTCATGTCATTCAATCTGTTCTCCCATTCATACGACACAAGTCAGTGTTTGTTATGACTTTCCTGATCCTTATTTATAAGACAATATGAGAGGAAACAGTGTGTGTGTGTGTGTGTGTGTGTGTGTGTGTGTGTGTGAAATAGAAATTATACACTGCACAGATATAGTTCATCACATTCTAGGATGGGTTGTCAGTGCTCAAATGGGGACCCTGATGAGTAGGAACAGATGCTTTTTCTCCTTAATGGCCTTTTCCCTCATTTAAAATCCACCCATTTATTTCCCTGTGATTTAGCGATAACTTTAAACACTTTAACTAAATTACCCAGCAGCTTGGCAGCCGGGTACTGTGATATAAAATCTGCATGCTCCACATGCAAAAATCCAATCAGTGCAATGGATACAAACACATACCCCAAATGGCATCATTTCCAAACTGAAGGTCCATAACCTGTCTCCAAATATTGAATTTCTATGGTTTTTTTCAGGTGTTGGCTTTCTAAATTTGGACCAATTTATTCTCATTATCCCTAAGTAAACCTACTTGGATTATTTTTAAGTTATTTTATATCAAATAGGACCAGCCAGGCCTGATTCATGGAGCCTGATGTTGCTAGGACATGTGGGTTTGTATTCGATGAAAGTACAACACTTCAAAAGGGAAAACTTTCAAGCATCCTAGAAAAAGACACTTGTCTTCTAGTGCAGAAGACAGACTCAATCCTTGAGCTTTCTCAGAGCTCAGACTGTAGGATTGGCCTCCCCGGGCTTTGAAGTAAGCAGCTTTGCTGGGGGGCTGTCCAACTGCTACTGATAATCAGGTTGGTCTTAAAGCAAGGAACACACGTATTTACAATAAAACACGTTTTCATGTTTGTTTTACAGTGAAGAGAAAAAAACCCAGAACCCCCAGATTTTATGTACTTTGAAAATATATTTAAAAACATTAAAAATTCTATATTTAAAACATATATTATATGTTGATTGGTACACTTAAATAGAACTTGTATTTACAATAGGCTTCTGATGCGGTTAAGTTTTAATGCCAATTTTTGCAATAACATAATTATATAAATATACTAAAATACAATAAATATTTTTTTCTTGTTTTACATGGTGAATAATAGCTTTACCATAGAGAGAACAAGGCCACAGACATTTACTTACATTTTCAATGGGAATCACCATAAAAAAGCAACAGGCCTATCGCCATGCATAAAAACACTTCTGCCACAAAGAGACCACAGCAAAAAACAGAACAGAACAAGAACGAACAGCAACAGAGAGAGATTTTAACAAAATAAACTGTAGGTCAACATAAATCACCGAGCATGGGACTGTGATGTGTCTTGTTAGTAAGAGAGCCACGGACGTCATTGTCATCTACCACAAAACCGTGTCACAGATCTGGTCCTTATAATACTTTTAAGACTGCAATGGTGACTTTGTTTGGTTTGTAAATGCTGTTCCTCCAAAGGAAGCTGTGAAAAGTGAACAGACAGCAGATATTCCAAGCATTCCTACAGGTTAAAAACAATTACCAATATTGTCAAACAGCACAAAACAAACCTATACTACAGAAAGGCTTCCTAAGACAGGTATTCAGGTGGAACCATAAAGGAGAGGCTAGTTCTACACGAAGGTCTGAACAGAAACTGTCTGCTGATGGTATCTTACCCCTGGGTCCCATCGGAACACCCTTTCTCTTAGCCCTCACCATGCCAAGATGCAGCAATTGCTTGAAGCTTGGTCTGGGCCTCCAGGACACTGATGCAGGTGGTCACCCTAACATTTGTAGGTGTGGAAGTGGGGTGAATGGGTAGATGGGCCGAGCGCTAGTTTTAACTGGGTCCCTTCCTCCCAGGAGCACTATCTAGCCTCCCAAACTGACCTCTCCAAACCCAAAGGGCAGAGGGGAAGCAGGGGCCATGAACAGATGGAATGGGAGGGGGCGCTGTGGCCCTCAGTGGGAGCAAGGTGTCATCAGCCGTCCTGGCCTCTTCCACGGGGCAAGGCATCTCCCCAACTCTTTGTCTCTGGACAAGATTCCTGTCCTTTCAGGCCTTGATCTTTTGAAAGCCTGAGATCTTTTCCTGTTCTCTTTCCTTTCACCACAAAGTTCTCAAAGGGAAAAACCCTGGTTTCCTCAAAGTCTAGTTGCAAAGCATGGAAGGGTTCTTGCAGTAAATAGCTTTGATCTCAGTGGACCGATCTCCTGATTACAAAACGCCACCTTGGCTCCGAACCTGCTCCAGGCGAATCCTCCACCTTCAGGCACAACGATCTGGGATGGGGTGGAGAACAGAAGTCAGCTTGGGCATGGTCCTCCGTGGAGAACCCTTGAGCACAGTTAGATAATGTAGGCACTTAAAGCACGAGTCCAAGCAACTTGACACGGGTCACTGCAGGGCCACCTCTGGCGGTGATGCTTTGGGAATGTGGCGAGTGCCCTTCCCACCTCTGCCTGGACCTGGGGGTGGCCGTGCAGGCATTCCTCCTGCACTGCCAGGAACCAGCCTGTCAGCCCCGCTGGCCTCTGCAGGGCTGTTCCATCTTGGGTCACGAGCTACGCAGGGTCCTGCCGTGACCGAGGCATCCCTGGTTCATACGGAGCTCGCCTCTCCCTGGCAGGACACTGCTAAGCCCAACCGTGATTATAAAGCATCACCATGATTAACCCAAATGACCCTTGGTAAAAAAATACTTCTTTGGGGGTTATTTCTTAGGGTTATTTTTCTCTTCTAAAAAAAATAATAAATCACCGTTTTCCACGCGTGCCGAGATGGGACACAACTTGTTCACAAAAGTGGTAGAAGACTTCAAAGCGTGCAACTGAACTTTCTTCCTTAAGTTAAAGTGGAACAGAGAGGGGCCGAAGAGGGAGGAAGGGAGAGAGGGGCCTGAGCAAAGAGCCAGGTCTTTGGGTCGAGAAGCTTTCTGGATCCAAGCAGGGGCCCAGGAGGTAATTCGGGAAGGGCAGTGCGGGCGTTGACTCGACTCGGTTGCCTTCATTTATATTTGCTTTCCAGCCATCTGATGCAAACATCTTCACGACATACAAAGTTCTCTGTTATCGACCAGAATGGGCAAGAGAACTCTTTTCCCATCCCTACTCCCTGTGGGATCTCAAAAAAATAAAGTAATAAAACAAAATAAAATAACAAACAAACAAACAAAAAAACCACAAAACAAACAAAAAGGTTCCCCTCCCGCCCCGTCCCCTAGGCCAGTAAAGCAAGGACAACAGCACCTTCACACTGTTTTAATTCCAATGCTATCAGAAGTTAAAAGCAGTAAAACAGACAAGAGTACTAACAGAACGAGGATACTGGCTGTCTAAAATGTAAACGGAATGTTTCGTTCAAATTTTTGTTTTTGTCTTTTTTTTTGTCTGTTTTCTGAAAGAGGACAGTTTATTATCAATTCACAATTAAAGCAGCATGCAATTTATTAGCATTTTTTAAAACTTTTTATGTTTTCAATTCTTGGCAACGGCAACAAACCACAACATTATCGAGGAATGTAATGCAGACTTTTGTTTAAAGTTGTGCGCAAATGACTGTTTCCCTTCTGGTCATGGATTGTCCAATAAATAGATTGTAGAACCACTGTACTGTATAAACTTCATTTATACATGCAGTTCATAAAGTTATTTTTTCTTAACTGAATAATTTACCCTGTTATGTATATATACAAATAGATAATTTTTGTCTCAATATAATCTATGCAACATAGAGCCACTATCTTCCTCTCTTAATGGTCAGTGTACATACACAGGAAGTGTCTATCCTTATGAACCGCCAGCCAATTCTCTTTTTGCTATCCATGGTGAGGGCCCGCACGTAGGACTGGGTAGTTCGGCACTGCGAGTTCCAGTGCCTCTTGTCTATGCCTCTGCAGCCCTCCTTGGTGTAGCCCATGGGGTTGCACTTGGTCTCGTAGAAGTACTGCTTCAGTTGGCCTTTGGACACGGGGACCTTCTCCAGGACGGTGACCGTCCCGCCAGACATGTCCACTGCAGTCTTTTTATCCGCGGCGGTGACCCACTCACTGATGCTGTCGCACACGCTCAGCTCCCCACGGCGGGCCGGGTCGGAGTGGCGCCGGACCCGCATGGACATGTTGGCAGCGTCCAGGTAATTTTTGTATTCCTCGAGCAGAAAGAGGAGGGGCGGCTCCAAAGGCACCTGGCTGCTCAGCATCACCCGGGACGTGTACAAGTCCGCGTCCTTCGCATTCTCTTCATGGGGCCTGACTTTCTGGTCCTCCTCCAGCAGCTCCTCGATCACGTGCTCAAAAGTGTCAGCCAGCGACGAAGACGATGAAGACGCCGCCAGGCCCCGCGCACCCACCTTGGGCCCGGTCACGCTGTCCAGGGCCCCGTGGGTCCGCACTCCGGGGTAGGCCAAGCTGCCTGGGCCTCGGACACTGGCTTCTTTCATGGGGGCGGCCTTCATGCAACCGAAGTACGAAATAACCATAGTAAGGAAAAGGATGGTCATCCCTCTTCTCACCTGGTGGAACTGTGAGGACAACAGAGAGAGACAGAGCACGGTCAGGGCTTCATTTGCAACTCCAGACCCACGGGGTGGAGGGTTTTACACCTCCCGATCAGCTCCGCCTGGGCCGCCCACAGACCAGCATGGGATGCATTCAGGCTGGGGTAATATCAGCCTGGCCATGTGGTGTTCCCCACGATTTTGCGTATACACTTGAGATTATGGCTTCTCGGCAAGTGAAAAAACCGTGGCTTCCTTTCGCCTCTTACCCCCACTTCAGCAGCTCTGTAAGCTTAATTTTTAATGATCTCTGCTCCAGCTGTCCCAAGAAACACAACATCAGAAATGTTACTAAGCAACAATTCCAAGTGTAATAGTAATTTCTTTTCCTAATTAGCAATGTGGCCCTTTGCAGAAATGTGTCACAGAGACAGGAGAGGCGGGGGGCAGGGTCTGTCTCACTGGTGGTGTGCAGGAACCGACAGCACAGTCGAAAGCAGCCAGAGAGCAGCCAGGGGCCTTGGCACTGGCTTTCTCCCGCAGTGATAATCTGCTGTAGCAGAGAAGGGAGAGCATTTCATTAGGCCATCGCGCTGTACAGACAGGGACACCAAAGGCCCGGTGTGAAGAGAATTTAGATATCAAAACCTCAGGCTCCCAACTCCGCTGTTCTCTCTACTGCACCTGGGTGGTCAGAAGTCAAAACGTTTGCTTATTTCCAAACAGAAATCATTTTCAATATGTTCATTTTAATGATGTGTCTATGCCTGGGGCTGATGTCGTGAAAGCAATGTGCTTTGGAGAACTGGAAAAGTCGGTGCTGAAAAGGGCACTTGAGGCAATTTCAAAGGCTGCCACCAACTCTCCGAGGCCCTCCTCGGCTCTTCAGGCCAATAGTCCGATCTGGTAAGGAAGCCTCACTTCCCTTTTCATTGGAAATGCAGTTGTGTGTGCGTGCGTGTGTGTGAACTCTGAGTTCACCATACCTTTGAAAGGCTGAGTGGCATTTTACACTTTGGAGCAGGCAGTAAATGGTTCTTTCTGTGCTTTTGAAGTTTCCTGGGAAGCCCCTCAAAAGCACACCACAAAATTAATCTCTTCCTGTTTGCCAGAGGGTGGCTCTGTGCTACCTTGGCCCCATGTCTGTAAGCACGCTCCGAGAGCCAATTAGCATGGATGAACAGGCAAGATAAAAACATACCTATGGGCCAACGCAAGGTGACCGCCGGGTGGTCAAGGACTGAGAAGCACTTACCTGCGTGACGCCTGTGTCCCTCGAGTACAGTGCCATCCCCACCCCAACACTACGTTCATTCCTACTTCTCAACTCTGGAGCGTGGACTTAGAAACACAACGCACACGCACACACACACGGAATGGGCAATACGCTGTACCAACCCACAAGAAAAGGGACTGTTTGGGTCCACGACCTGTCTCTAACCACCAAGGGCACCTTCCTCCAGTCTATGGGTCACAGTGCCGAAATGGTTGAAAACTTGGTATTGCGAAGCCAAAGTTTCTGTTTTAGACTTTTGAAAGAGGTTACGTTTTCCACCACCAAGAGACTTTATATCGTTGCTAAACACAACACATTTCCTTCTGAACTCACTCTCACTGTGCGTGGCTGGCAGGCACTCTCAGAACTCCTTGGACTGTGTGGCAATCTGAGAGTAGGAAGGGCAAACTGGTTGGAATAAAACGCGAGCATTCATTCTGCTAATACCTAGAGTCTTGTGAAGGTTTGGAATTCTGTATCATCACAGAAATGGATCCTCCAAGGAGGCCTCTATTCTGGGCAGGCGGTACTCAGGCCACTGAATGAAGAGCTTTCTCCTAACATTCCCAGTCCAAATTAAAACAGCCCAAGGGGCGACTGAAATTGAGGTCGAGGGAAGAACGCAGAATCGGACTGCTTTACTCGGCCGTCTAGGTCCCACGGGTGGAGTGCAGACTTGCTGCCATCAGCTACCTTTTAATACCACATTGTATCAAATCGAAGATGCCGTCATGAAAATCACAGCATTTTATGAACTCCCAGGGAAGAGGAAATGCAGCCTGGCTCCTGCTCTGTCACCATCTCCCCGATCCCGCCGCCTCCGCCCTGCTGCAGCACCCTCAGCTCACGCTGTGACTCTACTGTCCCCGTGTTACAATGGGCACCATTTGTCTTCCATTCAACCCGATAACCACTTCTGACAGATCACTCTCGTTTTTTTCTCCTACACTCAACCCCGGCCATGGCTCTCTTATTCCAGTGGATCAACTCTAGCCTCCTCTATGTGCTGTTCAAAACCCTCCAAAATCTGCCTCACCCTGCTCAGCTGATTTTCTTGTACATTCAATGCTTTGCCACTTTTGCTCCTATTAGGCCAGAGTCCTGAGCTACGGCCCAGGAGTGACTTGTTCTGCTCTGTGGGTAAACTGGAACCTCAACCTCTCTTCCTACCTTACCTCTACCTCAAAATCTTGCTTATTCTTCACGGCCCCATTTGAGTCAAATACCAATTGCCACCCTCACCACTTACTCCAACACATTCTGCCTCTGGGTCCTCTAAATTCTCCCATTATCATTTTATTTAGTGCTCCCCACCGACTCACAGGTCAATGGTGTTTGTTTATTGGAAGGTGAGCTCTCTGAGGGAATGGATCACATCTGATCTCCCGTAATGCGAATCCTGGGAGAATTAAAAATTAATAGCAGTACCCTGTATCAGCTCACCAACAGGCACGTCTTAGTCACTTCCTCATCACCGGGACATAGGACCTGACACACAGCTTTCAGGAGGAGATGCTTATTTGGGCTTTTAGAGGTCCATGACTGACTGGCTCCAAGGGAGGAAGAACATGGTGGAAGAGCCTGCTGTGGTGCACCGTTCATTCACATCATGGTGGCCAGGAAGCAGAGAGAGAGGAGAAGGGTGGAACCAGGGAGGGAGATGCCCCTGAAGTTCACACCTCGGTGGTCCCCTCTTCCAGCCTAGCCAGACCCAGTGCCTAGGAGACAGCCAGCTCTGCCTATGGCCATCATGACTCAGTATGTCCAAAAGCCCTGCCTGTGAGTACACAAGGCCTCTGGAGGACACCCTTGATAGAAACCATAACTAAGGGAAAAGACAGGTCTCACACAGTTTCCTGAAAAGCCGCTTCATTTGGAAGGCATCAGAGAATACACTGAAATTCTGAGCCAAATTATAGGCCATGCTAACCTCAAATTGTAAGTGCCGAGGAATTTGACAGATGGCAAACAATTTCTTGAATTCTTCTAATGGGGTACAACTTTCCTTGAGTGATTAAAACACAGCCAACTCTACAACATAATAACTGCTTGGCTACTGCCATGTAGTTCAGTTCCTAATGGGTCAATGGGAGACAAGAAAGTAGGATTGGTAATGATAATAATAAAGCAAAATTTTGTATTTTTGGTCCTTTAATTCCCCTTTTTCTTATTCTTCCAGCTCTTTAATGAGTAGTTTTATACAGTGTACTAGAAAAGCACAAAAGAGCAAGAGCTTCCATGATAATGCTCACATTTCTCTCCTTCAGCTGCCTCTTTATCACATAAAAGGTAAAGAGGCAGAATGACGCTGCTCTGTAGCATCTTAGTCTGCTTGCCTAGTTCTACCGAGTACATTGTACATTGTACCAAGTACACTGTACAGTACCTGTGCTGTCTAGTTTGGTTCCAATGCTTACAACAACCCTTTCAACCACATCTGTAAAATGCCAGGAGGATTTCCTTAGCCCCTTTCTCAGGAAATACAGCATACTTCATAGGAATACCAAGAAAATAAGCAAGGTAGAAAAGAAGTTTGGTTTGAACCATGACTCAAAGTCTCAACGGTTCCCTCAGAAGAATGTGCAAGACAGCCTGGCTCCTCTGCAGCCCAGCAGTGACTCCCAGCCCTGTGCACTGGGCTCACTGGTCCCAGGGCTGTGGGGTGCCAGGCATCAGGATGGTCTGTGGTCTCCAGCAGGTGAGAGGTGCGCATGGCCCAGGCCTCCTCTGCGTTCACAGCCTCTCCCATTGCTCACATCACTGCCCAAGGTCCACCTCCTTCCAGATCTCAGCACAGGATTCTCTAGGAGTCTGCCCTACTGGGAACTGTGCGTGTGAGGGGTGTGGGGTGCACCCTCCTGTTAAGAATCCAACCCTGAAACCTTCCACAGACACCACCCCCGGCGGGGGGAAATTTTCCACAAAACCAGTCCTGGCGCCAAAAAGGTTGCAGACCAGTGGTCTGGAAGACTATGGAAAATCCAGAAACGCCATCTGATTTGATTGTTACAGGAAGACAGGAAAGGTATGCTCTTCCCACAACACAGATGAGGCGATCACAATTCAGAAAGGTGAGGTGATCTGTCCAATGTCACAAAGTGAAAGTCGCCCATCTCCTGAGCCGAGCTCTTACACCAGGACATGCTGCCGGTTTTAGAGTATTAATAAGGCTGCACTGCTTTGTAGGGCTGGATGAATCATGATCTCTGAGACCCTGCAGGTTTTAAAGCCTTGATCACTCCAATGGGCAGAATTTTAGACAATGTCCTCTTCTAAGGGAAAGCTTTGCAGAAATTTAGGCATGTTAGAACCAAGTTTCCATGGCTGAAGCTAGGAAGGGAACCAGACATTACAGATAATGCAGGTGTAGATGAAAGACAAAAGCCACAGCCTTTTTGTTCCCAGTCTGTAAGCACACATCAAAGAAAACAGCCTATTGGTATGGTGGCTCCTTTGTGACAGTCCTATAAACAACAAGATCATGTTGAAGAAATGAACAATGAATACTTAATCCCTAACATATGTGACACCAACCTATCAAGACACTGCCTCAATGATAACTTGCAAATCAATATTTAAAATATTTCATTTACACCCAGTTTCACTGCATTGATGCACCAGTCTTTCTTTCGTTTGCTCAGTATCAGGCCTGGCGTCAACTTTCCGTTCTTATAGTCTAGGAGAGACGTCAGAGAGGTGATGTCCCGGGGATGGCATGGATACAATTCTAGAAAGACAAAGAAGCTGC